GCTAGCCAGCTAGTCAGCTAGCCAGCCAGCTAGCTAGCCAGCTAGCCAGGTCTGGGTGCAGCTAGCTATCCAGCTAGCTGCCCAGCTAGCCAGGCTCGTGGGGCTTGCGTGTGTGGATTTGTGCAGGAGTGCCTGCTGCTGCTGCTGCTGCTGCTGCTGCTGTGGATGAGAGACTCTTTGAGGGAATATTTTTGGGGTCTCGTTTGGAGCTGAGGGCCCTTTTGAATGTGGAGTTGTCTTTGCTGCTGCGGCGCATGCAGCAGCAGCAGCTGGACCTGGCTGCTGCTGCTGCTGCTGCTGCTGCGGGTGCTGGGGGCGGCGGCGAGGCTGCTGCAGCAGCAGCTGCGGCCGCAGCAGCAGAGATGCAGAGCGAGCTGGAGGCCTGGGCAGCAGCAGTGCAGCAGGAGAAAGCAGCAGCGCAGCAGCTGCTGCAGCAGCAGCTGGAAGAAGCAGCAGCAGACCCGAACTTTGCTGTGGGGTCTTTTTTCTACAGCGACGAACTAGCAGCAGCAATTCTGGACAGCCCCGCGTACAGCAGCAGCAGCGCAGCAGCAGCAGCAGCAGCAATCAGCGCAGTGCAGCAGCTGCGGCGGCCCGCGTGGGCGCTGCAGCTGAACTCCGAGACGCTGCAGCGCGCGCAGCTGCTGCTGCTGCAGCAGCCCCGTTTGCTGCTGACTCCGCAGCAAGCTCTGAAGCAAAATGTTCTTCTTTTTTCTGGAAAACAAGTAATTAAAAAAAGAAACTTTTTAGAAAAAGTTTCTCTCGTGCTGCAGCTGACGGCCCGCATGCACAGCAGGTTCACAGACAACTTGGCTTCGCTGCTGCCCCACACTCTCCGCAGCAAGCTGCTGCAGGCCCTCAGCGGCAGCAGCAGCAGCAGCAGCAGCAGCAGCAGCGGCGTTGAAGCGGCTCTCATCGACGAGGTCTTCGACTCTCTGGGCTTCGTGTCGGCGTTCCGCGCTGCAGCAGCAGCAACAGCAGCGGCGGAGCAGCAGCGGCAGCAGCAGCAGCAGCAGCGGCAGCTGATAATGCTGCAGCTGCTCGACAAGAAGAACCGCTTGATCTTGTTCAAGCCTGCTGCTGCAGCAGGCAGCAGCAGCAGCAGCAAACGAATTGCTGCTGTTGAGGTGCGCTTAGAATTTGCTGCTTCTCTCTCAAACCCCACAAACGCAAACCCCAACTCGATAGCTAGCTGGCTAGCTGGCTAGTTGGCTAGCTAGCTAGCTAACTAGCTAGCCAGATAGCTAGCTGCACGTGTGTCTGGCTAGCTGGCTAGCTAGCTAGCTAGCCAGCTAGCTGCGTGGGTGGCTGGCTAGCTGGCTAGCTGCCTGGCTAGCTAGCTGGCTGGCTACCTGGCTAGCTACCTGGCTAGCTAGCTGGCTGGCTAGCTGGCTAGCTAGCTGCCTGGCCACCTGGCTAGCTAGCTAGCTACCTGCCTGTTATCTAGCTAGCTAGCTAAATGGCTAGCTAGCTAGCTAGCTAGCTAACTGGCTAGCTAGCTAGCTGGCTAGCTGGACAGCATTTGCTTTTCGTTTTTGTGTTTTGTGTCCTTCAGACGCCCCACTTCTTTGCTGCTGCTGCAGCAGCAGCAGCAAACGATCTTGCTGCTGCTCTCAACAGCCGCAGCAAAAGCAGCTGCTGGCTGCGGCTGCTGCCGCTGCAGCTGTGGGAGGCGGGGCCCCACAGCATTCCGAGTTAGTTAATTAATTTTAATTCATTATTTATTTTTTATTTAATTCATTTTATTTTTTATTTATTAATTCATTTGATTTATTTAATTATTTGTTTATTTGTTGGTTGCGGTTTTGGGCTGTTTCGATTGGTGTGCTTCACGCTTAGTTCTAAACCCTAAACCCTAAACCCTAAACCCTAAACACTAAACCCTAAACCCTAAACCCGTTAATTTAATTTAATTTAATTTAATTAATTTTGTCTGCAGCACCGACACCGCCGCTACGATTGGTTCAGCGCTTGAAAAGACTGTGGCAGAAAGTCCGGGGTAAGCCTAGGGTTTAGGGTTTAGGGTCTAGGGTTTAGGGTTTAGGGTTGTCTTCTTCATGTTTGCATGCACTCCAGCCTGTGTAGAAGCCAAAAGCAAATAATTGAAAAAACGACATAATAAGTGAGAAACAAATAGTCCATTCAGCGATTTAATTAACTGCTTTTCTAGGGTTTAGGGTTTAGGGTTTAGGGTTTAGGGTTTGCGTTTGTCTGCTGCAGGGAAGCCGACGGAATTCGGTGAGGATCTTTTGCTGCTCCTTGGATATATTTGTTTTGGAATCCATTCAAAAGAGCAAAGAAACCCTTTAGGGTTTAGGGTTTAGGGATTAGGGTTTAGGGTTTAGGGTTTAGGGTTTGGCGGATGGTTTTTGGTGGGAAAAGTGTCATTTTTTCTGAATTTTTCAGCAAATAGACTAGAAAAAGAAACAAACATTTATTTATTGTTCATTTAATCATTTATTTCCTCTTTTTCATCTCTTTTTAGTTGGATTTGTGAAGACCGAACTCACAGAGGGCCCCGCCAGAGAACTCGCCCGCAGCTGCATGCGCGCTGCAGCAGAAAGCCCCAAAGCAGATGCATGCGTTCCCACAAGCCCCGACTTCGTCAAGTAATAAATAAATAAATAAATAAATAAATAAATAAATAAATAATAAAATAATAAATAAATAAATAAATAAATAAATAATAGATAAAGTAATTAAATTAATTAATTTATTTGTTTTTATTTTGAAGAAAACGAATGAGTTATACTATTTGCTGCTGCAGCGGCAAAATTAATTAATTTCGAATTTTAAATAAATTGCAATTTAAGAATTAATCGATTTTAATTTTAAAGTTTATTTAATTGTTTTTGTTCACTTCAACAATCATCTTTTACTTTGCATGCATGCAAAGCAGCCAAGGGTCTAGGGTTTAGGGTTTAGGGTTTAGGGTTTAGGGTTTACGATTTAGGCATTAGGACTCGTGGTTTATGGCTGAGGGTGTAGAATGCAGAGTTTACGCTCAGGAGTCAAGAACACACGAATAAGCATATAGTCTCTAGGGCTTAGGGTTTAGGGTTTAGGGTTTAGGGTTTGTGGTTTGTGGTTTGTGGTTTGTGGTGTCGGTTTGCTGCAGGTGTTTGTCCATGGCCGTGCTGCGCTGCAGCGCAGCAGACACTGCATGCAGCAGCAAAGTGGAGTCTTTTGCAAACCTCCATTTGGAAATGCTGCAGAGGGTTTATTTGGATTTGCAAAACCCTCGGACAAACCCTCAAACCTTTTTCGACAAACCCCCCTGGAACAAAGCCCGCCACTTCATCCGAGACGCCATCGAGGCCAGCGGTAAACCCTAAACCCTAAACCCTAAACCCTAAACCCTAAACCGTAAACCCTGGTTTTCGGCCGTCGCTCCAAACCCTAAACCCTAGAGTTTGCACTGCAGGGCGTGGCGACTGGGGCCTTTCACTGCGGAGGCCTTCGGGGCGCAGGGGCTAGGGTTTAGGGTTTAGGGTTTAGGGTTTAGGGTTTGCGCAGGCGAGGCGCTGAGCGCGGACGAGCGGGAGGCCCTGCTAAACCCTTTCGTGGCAAAGTTCGGGGCCCCTGCTGCTGCCAACTTCCGGGGTTTGCATTTGTTGAAAATGAGATCTTTTTTATTTTCTTTTCCAAAAGATTTAAATGCAATTAAATGTTTAAACTCTCTTCTCCGCCAAACCCTCAACGCCCCCCCGCCGAGCTGCGCCGCAGACATCGCCCACGCCTTCAGCGCCTTTTTCAAAGAGCCCCGTGAGGGTTTAGGGTTTAGGGTTTAGGGTTTAGGGTTTGGGGTTTGCAGCTTGCGATTTGGGGTCTAGCGCTTGGGGTTAGGGCTTGGGGTGTAGTGTTCGGTGCCTAGGGTTTGGGGTTCAGGGTTTAGGGTTTAGGGCTCAGAGCTTGCTGTTTAGGGTTTAGGGTTTAGGGTTTAGGGTTTAGAGAGTGGGCCTGCAGGTGCCGTTCTCTTACTGTGCTGCGTGCGGGCGTCAAAAAACTGCTTCTGCC